TTCATTCAATATAATTAATGATTCATAAATAAAACCTAAAAAAGTGTAGGTTGAATAAATTAAAGATTTATGCTTATCGTAATAGCCAAATTATTTTTTTTTCTTATTATTTGAAAATCACCCAATCAAATTTCAACACTACTATACGTACTATACGCACTATATGCACTATATGTAAAGTATTGTAAAGTATCATCTAGTGTTCAACTATATGCCATTTGCCCATCTCTAGGATTGCCCTGGAATAGAATAAACTTATGGAAAAAGGCATTGAAGAAGTGTCAATACTGCTAGATAGATTTTCCTTGGTTGTACCTATATTATATAATAATAAGATCATGTTACAGAAAGTGTTGGCCATATATACCTCTGGTATTAGCTTGGACTTTGCCAGAATTATTAAGAGAGAATAATTGTGGTTTACAATCCCCCAAAAAGGTTTAAATTAAAGACCAATTTGAAAATAATATTAAAGATGAGAGAATAGAAGTAGAGAATTCGACACTACTCAAATTCATCATGTTCATTCTCATAAACAAATAAAATGGCCTCAGAACTAGTTGCTTCTTCCACTGCGAGAAGAATACCAATTGCTTTTTCAAAAAAGAATTCTTTTTCAAAAGAGGCCTTTTCTGGCACCTTGGCAGGATGCGCTCAAGTTGTTGTTGGTAAATAAAATTATTTGCTAACGTAATTATTAAAAATAAATCAATTCTATAACATAAAATATTAATAATTATTAATCGTATTTCTTTCCTCCGGCCCTTTTCATTCTTTCCAGGGTTCCCGTTTGATACCATCAAGGTTCGACTTCAAACCGACTCTCAAAAATATAAGACGGCGATAAACTGTCTAAAAATGACAATTAGACAAGAGACTGTAAGTTATGCTTTTATTATTATAATAATTATTTCCTTGGATTTTCGTTTTCTCGTTTTCATATTTTATTTTTCCAATGATATAGGCTCTGGGTTTATACAAAGGCTCTTCTTCTCCGATGTTGGGAAACGGAATATCCAATGCCATTTTATTCAGTACAAACAAAAAATTCCGTGGCATGTTCAACGATGGTGACTCAACACGTTCTTTAACATTAAGTAAGTATCATTGCTATCACTCTCATTATCAAATTCTTTTCATCATCATATAATTACTATTATCACCGCAACAGTCCAACTAATCAATTATAATCATTTTTAAAAATAGACGAGATTGCAAAAGCTGGCGCATTAACAGGCGTAGTTATGTCATTTGTGAATTGTCCGGTAGAGCTTCTCAAGGTGAAGCTACAAACACAATATGATCAACCGGCCGCAAACAAAAAAGTACGTTTTTTTTCCGAATCTATTAACACGTGATAAGATAAATGAAATCTAATCCACATTTCCTATTATAGTATACGAGCGTATTTCACGCAGCCAGTTCAATTTATAATCAAAATAACATTAAAGGATTGTATCGCGGTATCACAGCAACTGTAATCAGAGATGTACCTAGTTTTGCCACCTATTTTTGTAAATATTTTTTTATTTATTTATTTTTATAATAGTTTTTATATATATATATATTAATTATTTTCTTATTTTCTTATATTAGTTGTTTATGAAGGAGCCAAGAAATTAATAAGTGATCGTAATCACCGAGGAGACCTCAACAAACTTACACATTTAGAACTACTGATGGCGGGAGGCACAGCTGGTATCGCATGTTGGATACCTTGTTATCCGCAAGATGTGATCAAAACTCATATACAAAGAGAACCAAGGTTAATATAAATAGATGAATAATAAACAAATAAAATTTTTATTAATATCTCTTTACAACAAACAACTAACACATTATCTATTTATTTATTTATAGTTACACGTCAACTCTACATTGTATTCGAACTTTAATTCGAGGCGCCATAAATTCAAATAAATCAATACTTAGAGTATTCACCAAAGGTTTCGCACCCACTATGGCCAGAGCATTTCCTGCTAATGCTGCAACATTTTTTGCCTATGAAAAATCAAAAGAACTTTTTCGTGAAAAATAGCATTTATTCATAACACCATTTATTAAGATTTTATTTAATATTTTTATATATGTATGTTATGTATATATATATTATGTATAAATTTGTGTATATTCATTATTTTCTTTTTAAAGAAAAAATGTCGAAACCAATTTTTTTTTATTTTTTTAGATTTTTCAAAAACAAAAAACATTTTTAAAATAATTCATTATTTCATATAATTCATTTTCATTCATTAATTTCTCATTCATTTCAAAAAAAAAACAAAATTATTTTAGATTCTTCATTTTTATATGCAAAAATTTTATTTTTTACTTTATGATTTTTCAATCAAACAACCCAAAATTACAAATTATGTTGTTTTTTAAATAACAAAAAAAAAAAAATAAAAAAGTATAATAGTTAATAATAATATTATTATTAATATTAATATTAATATTAATATTAATAATGTATTTAGTAACAGGGCGCATAAATTTTACCGGTTTAGATCCGATTATTTTGGGGCAACGCTTATTACTCACACGAGAGGAAGTTTATATTATCAGCTAAGATTTTAAATTCTGAGTGCAAATATACCTCTATTTTTTGGGGTTAAGGAATCAAAGTTCCTTAAAGGCTTTAATATCTTATGTATATCAATTATTATATGTCTTAGAAAAGTCGATAATAAAAGAAAAATAAATAACCTTAATAATAAAACTAATTCCAATCAATTCTAAGGTATTTATTTAATTCTTCATTATTATTGTTAACACCATTATTATTATTATAATTGTTACTACTAATAATATTATTATTACTGACATCGTTATTACTAAATTTCTATATATATTAATTATTTTCTTTTCGTAAGTCGGGAATCATCGGAATAAGCACAATCACCAAAGTACCAACTATAAATATATTTTAGGAAATTGTAAATTTTAAAGGTAATTCATTGAACGCCGTGGCCACGAGATAAAAAGAAAATTTCTCGCCCATTTTCTTAAAATATATTATTTCATTATTATGTATGGTTTATTGCATGGCGAAACTGTTCCGCAAATTATCCAATTTAGAACTTTGTATTCTACCAAAACAGTAATAAAGAGAAAGAAAAAAAATCAAGTTCGAACTAATAAGAATTTATCTACATTGTTATTTCAAGCCACAGAAATACTTGATATTAAATTTCGAGTTTGAGTCGGCATTTTTTCATGAGAGCTTTAACTTCAAGATAATTATGAACGCTGCTGATATTCATTCTCCTTGATGTGATGTTCACCATTTGTTATTTGATTCTGACTTGAATACCATTTAAATTAATTATAAGAAATTTTTTTTTCAAGCATATCAACCGATATTCAGTCACACTTTCAATGCTAGCAATCCTTCTTCTTTCTATTTTTTCAGATCCTTTGTTAAAGTACAACATTGTTCCTAGTGGCAATTTAAGTCACAGGAAATCTTATTGTTAGAATGAACACTTTAACTATTTAATAAAATGTCTATGTTTTTGAACTAACCTCTGTCATTCCTGTCATTTTTTGATTGTTTATCTTTTAAATGTTCAATATAAATAAGTTTTGGTTTTTTTGAAACAAAAAAATTTAAAATAAAATTTGAGGCTGGAGATGGTTGATTT